CAAGAAGTTGAATGAGATGAAAGACAACATTGAAATGCAAAATGAAACATTCACCTCAAACGCCATGACTATTCAGTTGCAGGACAATCAAATCACCCATTTAATGAAAGGTCACTATCCACCGTTCGCTGAGGATTCACCCAACTACACTATGGGTGACTTCGAGGATAAATAATAGTTTTTGACTTCCGTCGTGCCATGACGTTACCTAACACGTTGTTTGGGAGGCAACCCAAAACCCCTTATTATCTTATATTTGCGTATTAGTAAAATAATGGTGTGTTGTTCGTACAGGTTGAAGTGTTGGAGGTTCTTGAAAAGTGCAGGGTTACAAGCAACATGTCCAGTTGGTGAGTCGCCGAAGAGGTCGGTGACCCACCCTTATCCGCCGTTTGAAGTTAAGAAGTGCAAGGAAAGTCTCCTTTAACCCATGATGTTGAGAAAAAGGGAACATCTTCGTTTAAAAAAAAGAGAGAAGAGAAAGAAAAAGAAAAAGAATGAAAAAGAAAGTTGTTGAATAAAGTAAAAAGTGATGGGGTTCCCAAACAATCCATGGAAAGTGAATAATAGGATGGCTTATGAGCACTAAAGAGAATGATGAAGGAAAAGGAAAGGAAGTGTTGTGAACACCACATTTCATGAGGATGAAAGTCACTGAGCCTATATCACCATACCATTCAACTCAGCCCTATTACAGGACTTGTAAAGACTTTTTTATCTTGAGTGAGCTGAAACAAATGTTGATTGGAAAATACAGGCAAAGCTATGAGTGAAATTATGCATTATGTTCTTCTTTGTGAGTGTGAGCGTTGCATCTGATTCTGAAGCTTTAAACTTTGAAACCATCTTGTAAATATGGAATCATTATTTGTGTGAGGGCATTTCAACACTATAGTTGAGCTTGAACTTGCATTTGAAGCAAGTATTGTGAGCATATATTCGTTGATATTGGTGAGTCACAACTTGAATCTTTGAGTACACATTTGATCTTTGCATAAGTAAATTGAGTCTTGTTGTGTGCATTCATGATTGAGTCTTGTGCAGCACTGTTCAAGACACCCTTTTTGAATGCTGAACTTTAGTTTGCTTGAGGACAAGAAAAAGTGTAAGTTGGGGGAGTAGATGAGTCCACAAATTGGGCTCATTTAGGGTTATATTTTAATAGAAATGGTGTCCTCAAATGCTTATTTTATCTCAATATTTGATGAAAACCCTTAAGCTTCAGGTATTTGATGTTTCAAGGAAAGCATGGACACTATGTTCCAAAAAGGAAGGAAAAGGCCGAGAAGAACGAAGAAATGAAGGCTTGAGGATCGCCGAGTCCACTTGGCGAGTCGCCGAAAGGTCTTACTTCTCCTTTTGTTCCAGTGTGCTGAGCCCTGAAGGAAAGGATCAAGTCGGCGGGAATATGGAGCAGTAGGCGCATCGCCGAGAAGTTCCGCGAAGCACTACCATGTTGCCCAATGACCCAGAGCACGACGATGCTAAAGGCAGGTGCAAGACAGAGATGAACTACATCAAAGGGCGAATCGCCTAGTTGATCGGCGATTCCGACTAACGACTCCGAATGATCCGCTGCAGCAAATATCTGTGAAAACTATAAATACTAGTTAGAGTTGTAGTTTTAGGAGTCGAACTATTATTATAATTTTCATATAGAATATTATTTTTTAGTATTTTTTCTCTGAGTTTGAGAGGGTTTTGAACACTTGACGAAAAAGAGGGTTTCATCTCCAAAGATTTGGACTTGGGTCTTTTTGATTCTTCATTCTTGGACTGTACCAAGACTTAAATCTTCATACCCATTTGAATGCAAGATCATTTATGTATAAGTATCTATCTCTTGATGTGTGACTAAAAACCCCAATTCTTGGGGGGTGATTTAGCCAATATGGGTAAAGATATTTGTTTGGTCTTGTTTGCTGATAGTTTAATCGTAGTTTAATTATGATTTCCTTTAGTGGTTGTGGACGAATTTAATGAATTTGTCTTGCAAATACAAGTTTCTTTATGTGTCTTCAACTTGCTCGAGAAAGAGGTCGTAAAACTAAGACCACTAGATTGATGGCCAGTGTGAGTGGGTCGACATGAGGTTCAGTTTGGGAGAGTGAACCCTAGTCGCATGAAACGACCCCAAAAATGCCCGAAAATGTGCTTCGAAAACAACTATAATTGTAATTTCCATATATCTCAAAATCCGTGCATGATTTCAGAAATTCGACTTCATATTCTTATTCATGGGGTCAAATTGAGTGGGCAATGGGTCTAACTCGAATTTTAGAGCAACCGTATCAAAATTCAAAAATCGCAAAAAATGTGATTTGGAGGGTCAACTTTAAAGGGGAATATCTCTTCGAACACAAGGAACTGGAAGGGCCACAACCTATTAAATTAAAGCTTTTTGAGTTATCTTTCCAACGCACTTTGTTTCACCTCATTCCGAGTTAGGATGAGGGAGTTAAGACCATTTTCGTAAAACTTGTGTGTGCAGATTTGAAATTTCCAGTGAGCTATTTTTTTGAGGCAGGTTAGGGACGTTTTTTATAAAAAGGGGATATGTCCCAAACTTAGTCATATTTTTTTTCTA